TTGATCTGCCATCGTTACCTAGTACTCGTTTCCTAACGACAGCATTGCTTACTCTGTTGTCCCACGGTTTACGAGCAATGCTTCTTAAACATCTGTGATCGAATACTAGTAACCTACGAACATCTACTCTTAACGGTCATGTTTCACAGCCATATAGGAGAACGGAGCGAACTGCTGCGCAGTCCACCCGTACTTTGGTTAGCGAACGGATATCACGCCTACGCCATAAGTGACGCAGGTTGGCAAAAGCCAGTCGAGCTTCCTGTATCCGAGCTGAGATTTCGTCAGTCACCAGGTCATCGGCACTGATGAGACTCCCCAGATAAGTGAAGCGGTCTACACGCTCGACCACTTCACTCCCTATCACTAGTTCAGGTGCCGATGCAACCCAGTCTTGAAGCAACATTTTGCATTTCGAGGGGGAAAACCGCATCCCGAACATGCTTGCATTGTTGCTTAGGATAGTCAGAAGACTATGCATTTTGTCAGCATCTTCACCAAATAGGACTATGTCATCGGCATATTCTAGATCAGTAAGCGACTTTCCTGGTAGAAGGTCAACCCCTGAAAATTCAGACGAGGATAATGTTATGTCTAGGAGCATGTCTATGATAAAATTAAACATGAATGGAGAAAGTGGACATCCCTGACGGACACCACTTGAAGTAAAGAATTCCGGTGACAGTTCGCCATAAACTCTAACTCGACCGGTGTTGTTCGAGTAGAGAGCTTGTATAAGGTTAATGTACTTCTTTGGTACAACTTTCAATGACAGACCCTGCCACAGAACCTCACGATCCACTGAGTCAAATGCCGCCTTTAGGTCCAGGAAGACAACTATTGTAGGACGCCTAAATGTGTCCATGTTCTAGGACCTGTCGTAGTGTGAAGATGTGTTCTATACAACCACGTCCAGGTCTGAAACCAGCCAGTCTGCTCTTCACGAGCTCTAGTTAGACGTCTAAGTATAATCGAGGCTAACAATTTAGAAACTATATTAGTTACACTTATTCCCCTGTGATTGTCACGAGAAGACTTCTGTCCTTTCTTGTAGATTGGGACAATTAGCGACTGAGACCAGTCGGATGGGATTACGTCCAGTTCCCAGATTCTACCTAGGATCCTGGTCTGTCTAACCGTTAAAACTGGACCGCCATCATTAAATATCTCAGGGGTTAGCCTATCAGGACCTGCTGCTCTACTTTGCTTCAGATTTCCTATAGCTTTCTCAACTTCATGTAGACTGGGAGGAATTAAATCGATTTGCCATTCAGGATGACTGGAGATCGTGGGCAACCGAAGTGTGACTGAATGCCAGTTGAACTGATCCCTTAAGTGTTCTGACCATTGATCCAGTCTCCTGGATTGAGAATGGATAATACGACCGTCCTTTCCGAGATAGTCTCACTCACATTCGGGTTCCTAATACCGGTTTCTTTAATAAGGCGGAAAAGTTGTCTACTGTTGCCTATCGCCGCTGCCTTTTCCATCGCTTTTGCTTTCGCCATCCACCACTGTTCGCGATCGTTACGTAGGCTTTTTATAAGTCTGCGCCTAAGTTGACTACGCTCTTCATCATGTTCAGAGTCAGGTGGGATGCGTTTTCGAGCATCCATCAGTTCGGTGGATGCGACTGAAATCCACGGCTTCATCCTAGCCTTATGGTTTACCTTGCTAGCAGATATCACTGCTGTTTCCACAGCCTTCTTTATATCATTCCAACCTGCTTCAGGATGGGAATCACTTGCATGATCGCCCAACTGTTTTGCTACTTCCTTCTGAAATATTTTCTTAGTTTGATTATCATTAAGTAAAGCCCTGAGAGGCTTCCTTACGGTGTCTTTTCTACGTCCAGCAAGCCTCAAACAAATACGCGCTTGCACTAGAGCATGATCTGAATCCAAACATGTCCCCCAGAACGAGCGACAGTCCTCTATCGAACCCCTCCATCGGTGGCTGATGGCGATGTGATCTAGTTGAGTCCAACGTTGAGACGACTTCGGGGGTCGCCAGGTCAACAGATGCTTTTCCTTATGCCTAAAGTTGGTGTTCGCTAAGAATAGGCGGTTATCTGAGCATAGTTGCAACAGACGGTCGCGATTGTCTGTTCTTCGAGCCACGACACCATAACATCCACCTAGGTGTCTTTCATTTTCACTTAGTCTAAAGTCACCAGCCATTATTACTATATCAGAGCGCTTAGTTTTTTGGAGGAGGTCCCAAAGCTTTCTGTAAAACTCATCTTTAACCTCGTCTGAACTGCAGTCAGTGAGGGCATAGGCAGATATGACGAAGAAGCAACGACGAGTGTCCCTATCCTTACGAGTCCTTACTGTCCCGTTTAGCCTGACGGCGCACAATTGACTATCTACTGGGATCCAGTCTAGGAGAGATAATTCTGCCCTAGGACTCAACGCTATGCCTACACCAGCGAGACCCCTGGAAGCAGCATCAGGGTTACCGGATACACGAAGGGTAAATCGAGTTGTTTCATCTTGACATGGCGAGGTCAAGTGAATGATGCTACTCGGATCCTGTATGCGCGTTTCGGAGACGCAGCACACATCGATGGAACGAGATTCTAAAGTCCTAGCTAATGATGCCTGTTGCCCTATTTGACACAATGTCTGTACATTAAAAGCTCCAACATGTAGTTTAGAACGGGGTTTAAGGAGACCAGGAACGACGTTTCGCGAACTCGCATCGTTTGCATTAGCTGTGCACTGTGATAAATGAATGTGAGTAGAGTTAGTCGTGGAGAGAAGAGAGGTATTAGGGGGTGTAGGAAGGATTTGATTTCGACCAATTTAGTCTCGTGTGCTGTTACGGGTATGAGGGCGGTTATCACTTCCCGGCTGCCCACACCGTGGAAGGTTGTTTCTTGAGGAACCTGAAAAGGAAGATAGATTTGTATTGGTCTTGGAGACCTGGGTACGTGATCACAGAGCCCAAGGGACAACTGCTTGAGGCCGGTCACGCACGGCTTTTTTATGAAAGGTCTTTTGAGTATTAGCTCCGCTCTTTAAAGGCAGCATCGCTGAAGATGCTGGTTGTCCGAGGTAAACACCTTACTGCTCTCACATCCCTCTGCAGTCAGCAGTACGACTTCGCCCTCAGACCTTGAGTAGCTGCTTTTAGTCTCATCGTTCTCCAATCGACCTGCCTGGCATGGTAGAAGCTTCAGGAACACAAGTTACAGCCAATATAGCTCGGCTGGGTCATCACGATAAGCAAGCCCGACCACCACGTCAAGGTAGCAGCTTCAGTCGGGGAATCTCTATGGAGAGTTATCCCGACATATTTATCCTTGCAGTTATTGTTATGTAAACTAAATCCTTGATTTACTACACCTTACAATTCAAAGGTTATCTTTAATATTTTTAAGATGAGTTTAATATAAAACTTCAATAAGCAAATAAGACGATTTTTGTGTCGAATGACTCAAAAATATGATTCCCATAGTAGCTTTAGTGTATGTATTAGTATGTCATATTTTTCCACTTTATGAATGCGATTTTAGCTTTCTGATGCGACTCAACAGCCCTTTTCTTTATGGCTAATCCACCTTACATATCTACATTGATAGTTTCTTTGTTCCCAGCAAAATGAACTTAGTAATCTACTCAGTCAGAAATCCGCTGTTTAATTATGACGCTTTAAAAGTTCAAATCCTGAAGAATTTATTTCAAGCTCTTTTGACAACTATTCATTTTTATTATAAGGTTTCGGAGATTGTTTAGTTTCACAGAAATCATGAATCAATCAATGTTAGACTACACTTAGAAACTTGAAAGCCCTAGACGACCGTTACATCTTTGTTTGATACTCATCAGTAGTGAGCAGTCGCGATCGCATTACCCAGCACCTTTGGTCACGCGTGTGAACACTCAGCATCTTGGTCACTTAGCGCGCATCCAACGATCTCACTGTCCAACTTAAATAAATTCACTACATTGTGCGACCTCATCCATTGTCTTCGGTGGGTAACTGCCTACATTCGACAGGGTTGAACTCCACTAGTTTTGGCTTCTCACTAGAATCCCGAACATTTCCTCCCGAAGCTAGAGTCACTAGTGAGCACATGATTATCGTTATTATGGAGTTGCTGTGATTGTCAAGTTTCATTGAAATCATAAGTCGAATAATGTTAGCCCACCATTAGAAACCTGAAAGCAGTGTCACGCTAAATCGAAATGGCCGTTCAGTGCTTTCAAGTTTCTGAGTGTGGTCTAACATTGATCGATTCATGATTTCAATGAATTTATTTACTTATCGAGAAAGGAAAGCTATTATAAACAATGTCCGTGCCTTAAAAAATATCCATCATCTAGTATGTTTATAAAACAAAATCTTTTCCCCAAACTTTAACGATTTATCGTTGATTATATTGTTAAACAGCAAGTGATAACAATGTGTACTTAATTATTAGTTATTAGAAAGCCCTTTTGTAAAATCGAATGTCTAGTAGATGAACACTTCTAGTTCAGAGAAACACTTTATTTATCTTCAAAAATTATTAAACACAATTAATTTGCTTTTTCCTTTGATTTGTACTAGTTAAAGCTATTTGTAATAGAACAAATTCTTGCATTCTTTATTTTTTTTATCAGTCTTCTATTTAGTATTATTTCATAACTTCCATTCTTAGATAACATCGGTCTTTTAGAATTTCATTTCAGTCTAGTTTCTTTTGAATATTTGAACTGTTGGTTTATTTATTTTATCGTTTGTTAATGAATTTTATTGTTGTACAGGTTTGAGCGATAGTCACCTGAATTGATGTATAGATAGTTTGATGATATCCTACTATGTAACTGTTAATTTTTTTCTTTTTTTTCTGAGTTTCTGATAAGAATACTAATATTCTTTCTTTGCTGTTTTTTTTCTAATTTTTCTACAACTAGATCTGTTACGAATAAATCGAATTAATCTTTTTGTTGTTGACTACAATGAGAAATTGATGACATATACACACATAATCATATTTATATATATATATAATGAAAACAAATAAAATTCAACGAATTCCTTCATTAAACTTTCAAAAAATATGCATTCCAATTATATTAGGACAATTATTAGCTGTATTAATTGGTTTAACTGCAATATGTAATGGTGTACTATTTGAATATAAAATAAATTTACCATTAACTATAAATTTCCCACATTATTTTTTATTAACTATTTTCTATGGAGTTCCTTATCTTTGTTTTAATGTATACAAGAAATTGTCACATACTACTTCTACTACTACTACTACTAATAATAATAATAATAATAATAATAACAATAATAATAATAACAATAATAATAATAATGATAATAATGTATCATCTAATGACACTACTTTAAACTACAATATCAACAATGGCAAAACTACACTAAATCATCATAATCATCAATCTATTATTGAAAATGAACAAATTATTATTCTACCAAATAGTAAGAAACATTTAATCAAAGCATTATTTATTCGTTTTAGCTTTTATTCATTAATTGCTATAATTGATGTTCATGCGAATTGGTCCATTGTATCAGCATATGCATATACAAGTGTAACTAGTATACAATTATTAGATTGTATCACTATACCAACTGTTGTATTATCAAGTTATTTTTTATTATCATATCGTTATACATGGAATCATTATATTGCAATAATTTTATGTTTATTTGGTGCTACTGGTATGGTACTGACAGATTATTTTATACAATCATCAAATAACAACAATCTTCTTGTTATTCATAATGACAATACAACTGGAACTTCATTGAACCAATTCAATAATAATTACACTGTAAATAATCAATCATTTACTGCTGAACAAATGATATTTGGTGATTTCTTAGTTATTATTGGAGCTATTTCTTATGGACTATCAAATGTTTTACAACAATATCTGGTTCTTAAATATGGTATTGTAGAATTTCTTAGTTGTATTAGTCTAGTAGCATCGATTACAATATTAATTTACGCTATTCCAATTGAAAAACAATCCATCAATATGATATTGTCTAATGTTAATTCAATGAACTTAACAAAAGTTATTAGTTGTTTTAGTGGTTATGCTTTGTCAATGTTTCTGTTATATGCTTTAATGCCATTAGTGTTGATGCGTTCATCTGCTGTTCTAGTGAATTTATCATTACTTACAGCTGATATTTATGCTGTAGTAATGGGTGTATTTATATTTCATTATAATTTTCATTTTTTATATATTTTCTGTTTTTTAATCATTCTACTCGGTGTCGGTCTCTTTAATGTAGTTACTCCAGTGATTGTTGATAAAAAAGAACATCAATCAAACTGTTGCCAGTTGAATTCATTAAGAACAAAGTTTTCATCAATCTGTAAATGAAAATTTAATTTAAATTAATCATTTTATTAGGTACTTGTTCATCAAAAAAAAAGATTCTTCTCCTCTAATTTTTTTTTTATGAATCAACTCTGTTTCGGATTAGTAAACATGTCGATGTGAATTTTTGTGATTATGTAGCGTTATTTCGCTTTGATGAAAGATTAATTCATTACAATTCATTTGTTATCCAGCTATGTTTGTTTTGATCATATGCACAATATATTAATTAATACAGAGATTTAGTAAAACCACTTTGTATTGCTTTTTTTAAAGTATTTAGTCAATATGTAATGGTTGCGATTGCCCGTTATCCATAACTTTCATTGGATTTTGATCATTCTTAGTTGACATATCTGCATCCTGTGTAAATCGTTTTGATATACACATTTATTTATGAGTTTTATGGAAGTGGTAGACAACACTTTTGTCAACTGTAGCCATGTGTGTCACGTTCGAGTCTCGGTGTAAAAATCAAAACATTAGAATGTAGGCACATCCAGCTGAGGCATCTTAGATAGGAAGAAATGCACTACCTGAATCTCACTGCCAGTTATAATCAGTCTCTTCTATAGTACTTAGCTAATAGTTAAATTTCGATATTTGAAATTGAACTGAAATAAAGGAGTTACACTGCCTTATGATCAGTTGATTTACTAAACACAGTTAATTATCTTTATTACTTCCACAACAACATACTAAGCCAAAATATATTCTTTCAACTACTTTTATTCAGTTTCACGGTATTCCGGAAATAATTAGCATTGAGGATCACAACAAGACTCTGAACTACTATACACTTAAGTGATTTGTAAAGAATTCATCTAAAATATAATTTATTCTTACAAAATTCAAATATCATGGATAAGTTGTGTTGCTTAAGTGACTGCTTTTGATAATAGTTTATTGTGATCTGGATGTTTTGATTCTAAGAAATGAAAACTCTTTGAATGAACTTACGGATTATTGTTAAATACATTCTCATTAAATATCCATTAAATAACTAGTTTATTACATAAAATCCTTGATTGACCCATTAGCTTATTTGTTTGGTCGATTATTCCTAAACTTTCGCTAGTTTATCATTTATGGTTTCCACTATTCATAGTCATTTTTTACTAACACATGTTTAAATGCACTTCCTCATTTTATGGTATGATATTGTTTTTTGGGTATAAACAGTCTGCTTGAATTATAACGAGTTTTTTTAGGGTTGGCTATCGATTACTGGACCAACAGACAGGGTAGAAAGAAAGAAGCCAGCGAGTTGTGGACCAATCAGGAGTTGGAACCGACTCAAGGCTACTGATGCTAAATGTATCTGTGATTGGTGTTTTGTAGTTGTCACATGATATTGGTCAACGATTTCATGTCGTTCTAGGTTATGTAATCAGGGTCTACTTCAAATAGAAATCTACCAGAATTATAGCGAATTGTTTGTGATTAAATTGGTATGTACAAAACACAAAATAAAGACCAGTGAAAGAGTTTGGAAATGACTGTTTACGGAGCCTCAGGGTTATTGTTTAGACTCGACTCCGATGTAACATCGTAATATAGTAGGGAGTATCTACGTCTATAATGTGATGGAATATATATTGGTAGTGCTGGTAGTACAAAGTCGTGGATAATTGAATATCATTTCAACAAAGCAAAAGATGGAATTATTATTTTTAACAATTATCAACCCCGACCGTAGCTGCTACCTTGACGTGGTGGTCGGGCTTGCCTATCGTCATGACCCAACCGAGCTATACTGGCTGCAACATATGTTCCTGCAGGTCCTACCATGCCAGGCAGGTCGATTGGAGAACGATGAGACTAAAAGCAGCTACCCAAAGTCTGAGGGCGAAGTCGTACTGCTGACTGCAGAGGGGTGTGACAGCAGTAAGGTGTTTCCCTCGGACAACCAGCATTTGCGGCGACGCTGCCTTCTCACAAGGAAGGAAGGGTTAGAAAAGGTCGACCCTAAAAATTTCACACCTCCCCTACCTCATGGATTTCCGTCTCCTTGGGTAAGGTTGCCCACTAAGGGCCTTTAAGAACGGAGCTAATCCTCTAAATACCTTTCATAAAAAGGCCGTGCGTGACCGGCCTCAAGCAGTTGTCCCTTGGGCTCTGCGGTCACGCACCAACACTAATCCATCTTCCTTTTCAGGTCCCTCAAGAAACAACCTTCCACGGTGTGGGCAGCCGGGAAGTGACAACCGCCCTTATACCCGTAACAGCACGCGAGACCAAATTGGTCAAAATCAAATCCTTTCTACACCCCCTAATACCTCTCTTATCTCTACGACTAACTCTATTCACACTCCCTTTTCTCACTGCACCGCTAATGCAGACGAAGCAAGTTCACGAAACGTCGTTCCTGGTCTCTTGAAACCCCGTTCTAGACTAAATATTGGAGCTTTTAATGTACGGACATTGTGTCAAATAGGGCAACAGGCATCATTAGCTAGGGCTTTAGAAACTCGTGCCATCGATGTGTGCTGCGTCTCGGAAACGCGCATACAGGATCCTAGTAAAGTCATTACCCTCATTCCGCCTTGTCAAAACGAAGAAGCAGCCCGATTCACTCTTCGTGTCTCCGGTAGCCCTGATGCTGCTTCCAGGGGTCTTGCTGACGTAGGTATAACGTTGAATCCTAGGGCAGAATTATCTCTCCTAGACTGGATCCCAGTAGATAGTCAATTGTGCGCTGTCCGACTAAACGGGACAGTAAGGACTCGTAAGGATAGGGACACCCGCCGTTGCTTCTTCGTCATATCTGCCTATGCCCCCACTGACTGCAGTGCAGACGAGGTTAAAGATGAGTTTTACAGAAAGCTTTCGGACCTCCTCCAAAAAGCTAGTCGCTCTGATACAGCAATAATGGCTGGTGACTTTAATGCTCAAGTAGGTAGACTAGGTGAAAAGGAAAGACATCTTGGCGGATTTTATGGTGTAGCGACTGAGACAACAGACAATGGTGACCGTCTGTTGCAAGTATGCTCAGACAACCGCCTATTCTTAGCAAACACTAACTTTAGGCATAAGGAAAAGCATCTGTTGACCTGGCGACCTCCAAAGTCGTCTCAACGTTGTACTCAACTAGATCACATCGCCATCAGCCACCGATGGAGGGGTTCGATTGAGGACTGTCGCTCGTTGTGGGGCACATGTTTGGATTCAGATCATGCCCTAGTGCGAGCTCGTATCTGTTTGAGGCTTACTGGACGTAAGAAAGACTAAGAAAATATTTCAGGAGCAACTAGAAAGAGAGTTAAGCAACGATGTAAGTGATTCCCATCCAGAAGCAGGTTGGTATGATATCAAGAAGGCTGTGGAAACAGCAGTGATATCTGTTAGTAAGGTAAACCATAAGGCTAGGATGAAGCCGTGGATATCAGTCGCGTCCTTCGAACTGATGGATGCTCGAAAACGCATCCCACCTGACTCTGAGCATGATGAAGAGCGTAGTCAACTTAGGCGCAGACTTATAAAAGTCTACGTAACGACCGCGAACAGTGGTGGATGGCGAAAGCAAAAGCGATGGAAAAGGCAGCGGCGATAGGCAACAGTAGACAACTTTTCCGCCTTATTAAAGAAACCGGTATTAGGAACCCGAATGTGAGTGAGACTATCTCGGAAAGGACGGTCGTATTATCCATTCTCAATCCAGGAGACTGGATCAATGGTCAGAACACTTAAGGGATCAGTTCAACTGGCCACGAGCCACTCTTCAGTTACCCACGATCTGCAGTCATCCTGAATGGCAAAGTCCCCCTAGTCCTAATGACGTTGAGAAAGCGTTAGGAAATCTGAAACGAGGACGAGCTGCAGGTCCTGTTAGACTGACCCCTGAGATATTCAAGGATGGTGGTCCAGTTTTAGCAACTAGGTTGACTGAGATCTTAGGTAGAATCTGGGAACTGGACGCAATCCCATCCAACTGGTCTCAATCACTGATTGTCCCAATCTATAAGAAAGGACAAAAGTGTTCTTGTGACAATCACAGGGGAATAAGTCTAACTAATATAGTTTCTATAATATTAGCCTTAGTAATACTTCGACGCTTAACGAAAGCTCGTGAAGAGCAGATTAGAGAAAACCAGGCTGGTTTCAGACCTGGACGTGGTTTTATAGACCACATTTTCACACTACGACAGGTCCTGGAACACAGACACACATTTAGGCGTCCTACAATAGTTGTCTTCCTGGACCTAAAGGCGGCATTTGACTCAGTGGATCGTGAGGTTCTGTGGCAGTGTCTGTCATTGAAAGTTGTACCAAAGATTTACATTAACCTCATACAAGCTATCTACTGGAACACTACAGGTCGAGTGAGAGCTTATGGCGAACTGTCACCGGAATTCTTCACTTCAAGTGGTGTTCGTCAGGGATGTCCACTCTCTCCATTCTTGTTTAATTTATCATAGACATGCTCCTAGACATAACTTTATCCTCGTCTGAATTTTCAGGAGTAGACTTTCTGCCAAGTGGCTCACTTATTGACTTGGAATATGCCGATGACATTGTCCTACTTGGTGAAGACGCTGACAAAATGCAGAGTCTTCTGACTACCGTAAGCAACAATGCAAGCATGTTCGGGATGCGGTTTTCCTCCTCGAAATGCAAAATGTTGCTTCAAGATTGGGTTGTATCGACACCTGAACTAGTGATAGGGAGTGAAGTAGTCGAACGTGTAGACCACTTCACTTATCTGGGGAGTCTCATCAGTGCTGATGGCCTGGTGACTGACGAAATCTCGGCACGGATACAGAAGGCTCGATTGGCTTTTGCCAACCTGCGTCACTTATGGCGTAGGCGAGATATCCGTTTGCTGACTAAAGGACGAGTGTACTGCGCAGTGGTTCGCTCCGTCTTACTTTTTGGCTGTGGAACATGGCCAATGAGAGTAGAAGATACTCGTCGGTTATTGGTTTTCGATCATAGGTGTCTTCGAAGCATTGCTCGTATACCGTGGGACAACCGAGTAAGCAATGCTGTCGTTAGAAAACGAGTTCTAGGTAAGGATGGCAGATCAATCGATGAATTAGTGAAACTTCATCAGTTTAAGGGGTTGGGACATGTGTTGCGTATGCCCAACCACCGACTGCCTCGACGAGCTTTGTTTTGTTGTGTAGGAGTAGGTTGGAAGAAAGTTAGGGGCAGCCAGAACAAAACATGGCAGAAATCCATGAAGTAATCGACTAGTGGACTGAGCCATGTCGGTAATTGTTGACTACCTGGTTGGGTTCCGCGAGATGATAATAATCGATGGT